CCCCATCCAAAACCTATTCCTCCCCAATTTTCCTTTTATTGTATTACTTGGCATCACTGTATATTAAGTCAGCCAAGCTAGAAACTTCAGAGTTGTCTCTAAATTCTTTTCCCCATTTCCAGTCCCTTCATACGCATTTAGAAAACAGTCCTCTGTGGGCCAGGCGTGGTGGCTCACACCTGTAATCGCAGCACTTTGGGAGGCCAAGACGGGTGAATCACCTGAGGTCAGGAGTTTGTGCAACTGTACTCCAGCTTGGGCAACAAGAGTGAAACTCTGTCTCAAAAAAAGAAAAAAAAATTTAAAAAGGCCAGGCACGGTGGTGCACGCCTGTGATCCCAGCACTTTGGGAGGCCAAGGCGGGTGGATCACCTGAGGTCAGGAGTTCGAGACCAACCTGGCCAACATGGTAAAACCCCGCCTCTACTAAAAATACAAAAATTAGCCGGGCGTGGTAGCACGCACCTGTAATCCCAGCTACTCAAGAGGATGAGGCAGGAGAATCGGTTGAACCTGGGAGGTGGAGGTTGCAGTGAGCCAAGATTGCACCATTGCACTCCAGCCAGGGTAACAGAGCAAGACTCTGTCTCAAAAAAAAAAAAAAAAGAAAGAAAAAGAAAATAGTCCTCTGTGTTCTGCCCTGAAATCTCTCTTGTCTCAGTTCTTCCTCTTGTATGTTCCCGCCGCTCTAGGCAGAACTGTTTTATTGCAGGAGACTCCTAGCAGTCTCCCTGTCTCCATTCTTTCTTCACAAATGCATCCTCTACCCTGCTGTGAAAACATAGATCCTATTGTGCCACGCTACTGCTCAGAAATCTTCAGGTATTCCCCATTGTTTACCAAATGCTTTCCTGTGGTGTTTAGTGTTTTCCCAAGGTGGCCAAAACAACATTTTCATTTTGTCTTTCACTATAACCTTATACATCTTCCATTTCCCATATCCAGTGTACATAGTTATCCCTGGAATGAGTGCATCCATTCCATCCACTGTCTTCATTATTTTTATTAAGGTATAATATATATACAGTAAAATACACCCTCATTTTTTAGTGTCTAGTTTTAGTTGAGTGCATATGTAAGCTTTTTGTTGTTGTTTTTCATTTTTTTGAGATTGTCTTGCCCTGTCACCTAGGCTGGAGTGCAATGATGTATATAATCATGGCTCATTGCAGCCTCGGCCTCCTAGGCTCAAGCGATCCTCCCATCTCAGTCTCCTGAGTAGCTG